GGGGTGGGGCCGGGGGGGGCGGGGCGGGGCAGGGCGAGCTTGTTCCTTATCTGGGGTGAGGGTAGGGGTGTGTCCAGGGGTTGGGCCGGATTGTTGTCTTAGGTGGTCTGCCCACCCCTTAGGTAGTGTTGTGTGCAGGGGGCATGTGCAGTACCCTGCTTTTGTTCCCAACACCGGTTTTGCTCCCAGCTCTTCAGAAATGGCACTTGGGTTTTTTGGTCTTTTGTATCTTTTTGTCCATAATTTGCCCCACCTGTGCAAATTATTTTTAGTCCCATATAGTTTCTTTGCATTTTCTTGCTCGAGGAGAGGTTTGTCCAGGTGCAAGCACTGCAGCAAAGGGTCCCAGGTCCCATATGGTCTCAGGCAGAGGAAAAATAGAAAGTCATAGTGTGGAGAAACAGTGACGGGTAGGGAGCACAGATAATCTTGACGATGGTGGTAAGATTCTCTATAAGATGGCATCTTTTTTTTTTTTAGAATCTTGACAAAAATTTGCAACATTTAAACACTGTCACAGAATGAGTATAACTGCAGCCTAGGTTCTGCAAATGTCATAGCTGATTTTGTGTGCTTTTGAGTTATCTTCTCAGTTTTTTCCCCCCAATGGTGTCTGCATCTTCTCTTGTTTCCTGGACGTTGTGCTGATGATGCTTTCCTCTGAGACGGTGGGTGATGGGTTGGGGTGTGGGATACGCCCTGGCAGGCTCTCTTTGCTGCATCACAGAGGCCTTCTTAGTTTTTGTGACACGAATACAAACCCTGATATTTTCATTTTTCACAAGCCTGGTGTAGCTGTCAAATCTTAAAATGCAGAGCACGGTATCGGGTGAAGGGGAAAGGGCAGAGGTGTGGGGTGGGCTGAAGGAGGGAAAGGGGGCTGCCTTGGTGATCAGGGGCCATGAGTGGGGGCTCTGGGTGGGCACTGGCACGCAGATGCTCACCATGTCCCCGGGGTAGCCGTCTGTCTACTTGGGTGCCGGTCATGGCATAGAAACAGTGGATTCGTACACAACGGTCCAGGGTCCCTAGCCGGGGTTTGGAAATGCCTGACCTTTACCCTCCAGGCAAGTGACCTGGGGCAGCAGGTCAGAGCCAGATTCTCATCAACTTTTCCCCTTGTCAGGCTTTCTTTGTAGGCCCTGGGAACAAATTTGGAGAGCCGATCCCCATTTCTAAGGCCCATGAGCACATTTTTGGAATGGTCCTTATGAACGACTGGAGTGGTAATTACGGGATGTCGGGCATCCTGGTGTTGAGTTTCCTGCGCGCAGTCTGCTCTGGGTGAAGGCTGGGTATTTGGGAAGCCATGGATGGTCTCCTGAGTCTGGTGCCGGTCAAAGTGTCTGAGAGCACAGGCTTGGGTATCAAACAGACTTCTCAGCTCTGAGCTCTTAGCCAGTTACTTCAACTCTCTGAGCTCCAGTTTTCTTGTAAGATGAACAGGGACAAGGCTGATGTCACAGCTAGTATGTTTGAGCAATTTTGTGCCAGGCCCAGGGCTGAATACATCACATGGACTCTCCTGTCAGATCCCTACGAGACACTGATAATATTACTATTCGTGTTTTACACGGGTGAGGAATGAGGCACAAGGACGACTTCAGCTAGTTGCTGAGCTAACATTTCAAACAGAGCAGCTCAGTTTCTGAGCCCATCTCAACCCCTCTGCCATTTGTAGGAGGACAGTGGTGCCGTGAATCTCAGCAAGTGTTGCCTCCCAGTATGAGGATGAGCTTCCAACCCCTTCATGGGGGAGTGTCCTGCCTGCCCTTTGGTCATCCTTCTCTTTGCGGCAGCCTGGCACAGTGACCTCAGAGGACCTCTGTCCTTGGTCCTGGGGCAGCCAGCCTGGTTGGGGCCAGAGCACGGGGGTGGGGGAGGGCTGTGCTGAGTGTCTGTGCTCCTTGGTCAAGGGAAGGGGGGAGCCTTGCCGCGGGGCCCGGTCAGCCTTCGTAAGCCCTGCTCAGCCCTTCTTCTGTAGCTCGAGACATTCAGAAGTGGGAGTACATCCCTCTTGGGCCGTTCCTCGGGAAGAGTTTTGGAACCACCATCTCTCCGTGGGTGGTGCCCATGGATGCTCTCATGCCCTTTGCTGTGCCCAACCAGGAGCAGGTAAGCACGCCCTCTGCAAGAAGTCCAGGCCCCTCTGCCTCCGAGGCTGTTTGCCCAGCAGGCATGGGGAGGGTCTGGAGGATGCCCATGTGCTGGGGGTCCTGGTTATGGGGACCTCCAGGCAGGCATGGCACTAATCATTCTGCCTTGTGCTTTCCCTGCCCCCTGCACAGCTCTTGAGGAGAACATGGAATTTTGTAACCTTTAGAATCCTCTGAGGCCGGGAACTGGTCAGTTGGCAGGAAAAGGGGTCCCTTCCAGTATCACATTGCACAACTTTCCAGGTCAACAAGCTGTGTTCTGTGTGATGGCGCCCCCTGGAGTCCAACTGATAGAATGCAGCATGGGGTCAGACAGCAGGGCGTCCGTCCTGGCACTGAGCCTCGTGTTCCCCGAGCCTCCTGTCCCTGCACCACTGTCCAGGCCCGTCTCACAATCCTAGCCCTCCCTCACTCCTCAGCCTGTCACAGTCTGGCCGCTGCTTCCACCCCATCAGCACCGGTGGTCTCACCAAAGTGCCCAGTGACCTTGGTCAGTGCGGGGACCTTGTGCCCTCTTCAATGTGGACCCGTTGGTGGCCCCCTACTCTTCCTAGGCGCTCTCTCCCCCTGGCTTCTGGCATGTGACCTGTCCTGGTTCTCCTGTATCTCCTAGAGTCCTGTGATGCTCCAGCCGACTCTGTCCTCCACATGGGGGCAGCCCTAGCTGAGCTCTGAGGCTTGCCCTTCCCCCGGTCCCATTCCCCCTCGCCTTGCTCACACGTGGCTCCTGGACACCTCCCAGCCTTCTTGTCATCCCATGGAGCTGCGCTCCAGCACTTGGAGTCTTTCCCCACAGACCGGTGCCTCGTGAAGCTCCTGTGTGGCTCTCACCCTGTCCCCTTGCTCCCTCCTCTACCTCTCCTGCCACAGCATCTCCCTCCCCATCATTTTCAGTCTCCCAGACTTGTCTCTTCCGTCTTTGGTGAGTCCTGCCGTCACAGCCCCTGCTCGTCCCCTCCAGGCTCCATCCCTGGTCCAGATCTCTGTTCACAGGCACTGCTGCACCCTTGCCAGAGACCTCTGGGCTCTGTCTCCTTTCATGCCAGCCCTTCCCAAATACCCTTTACGTGCAACCTTCATGACCCTTGCCACTTCTGAACAATTATTTATTAAATGCTTTTTCAGCTTCCATCTGAAAACTCTCATAATGTGTTTAGAAAAGGAACTTTATGTCCCTATCTTCATTACTAGCCACCAAGTTAATCATAAAAAGAAACACATAACCGTTAAAATAAAATCACCCCGCATCGTCTCATGGCCCACTAGTGATTCAGGTACCTGTTGCTCTTTGGGAAAACACTGCTTTTGGCCAAAGTTCAGACCTTCTACCAAAGCTCGGGCTACCAAAGCTGCCTACACACTGAATCCAGCACTAGAAGGGCTGAGCGCCTCTGCTGGCCGCCCCTGCCTTCCGCCTTCCCTTTCTGTTGGCCTGGCCTCTCCCTGCAGGCCTGGCTTTGTTCCCGCATCTCTGGCCTTCCCACGCTCCGCTTCCCACTGTCCCCCTTCCCCAGCGCTCCCCTCCCTGGCTTTCTGGGTCCTCTGTCTACCTTTGACCTGCTGATGCCCCTCCCTCGGCTGCCTTTCCCAGCGTCCAGCACACATGACCACCTTCGCCCCGCCCAGTGTCCAGGGACACAGTGCTGGGCCCTGGAGAGGGGACACCCCTTCTCTCTCAGATTCTCTCTGCCAGCTGCTCTGCTGGGCTGTGGGGCTCAGCCCCTCTGTGCTGTGCTCTGCCCTCACAGGACCCCAAGCCCCTGCCGTATCTCCGCCACGACCAGCCCTACACGTTTGACATCAACCTCTCTGTCACCCTGAAAGGTACTGTCGTGGGGTCGAAGGGTGTGTCCAGCAGCTGGGTGGACCCCTGTGCCCAAGTGCCATTGCCCAGGTGGCTGCTGAGCTTCTGAAGGGGGGAGGTGATGGGGTGCCACCTGCTGCAGACTGGGAGACACGTGGGGCTCTTGTAAAGGATGGGAAGGGACACCTTTGTGCTCATTGCAAGCCGCACGGGGCCCATGTGGCCTTAGCCCCATAGCACCGGGCTCTCAGCTGTTAGGGCCAGAAACCGTGGCGTCTGGGACCTCCACCCTCCACTTGGATCCCCTCTCCAGCCTCTCCAACCAAAGTCTGCCCAGCCTCTGCTCACACGCCACTGCCAACCCCTCACCCTTGGGTGGCGTGTTTTGTCCAGTGCCCGTTTGAAAGCCTGTCCTCGTGGGCCTGGCTCTGTCCTCTGGGACCACACGGAGCCAGCACACCTAGCCCCCGGGTCCTGCTCTCGGTCAGCCCTGAGAGCCTTGCAGCAGGGCCTGCGTCCCCCTGAGGCTGCCCAGCTGGGCTGAGGTACCAGGCCAGTGGAGCCGTAGTAAGAGAGGCGGCTCTGCAGGCCACGGCTGGGGTTCGAGTCTTGGTTCTGCCCCTGCCCAGCAGTGGGACTTTGGACAAGTTACTGAATCTGTGCCAGTTTGTCGTCTGAAAAGTGGGATAATAGTGGTATCGACTTCAAGGTGTAATTGTGAGCGGTAAGCAAGTCGATTCACATCAAGGTCTAGAACAGCACCTGCACCTGGGTAGGATTAGGCGTCATTTTCCGATCCTGATGGGGGCCCTTGGTGCTGGGAGAGGGCTAGTCTGGGGGATGCACACAGACCTCCTGGGCCACACTCTGGCCAATCTCTTTTCTTCCTAGATCTCTCTCCTCTTTTTGTCCTGTTTATGTACCCCAGGCTCTGCTGTGGCTCTCTCACTGCAGCTTCCAGGGTCTCCATCCTTCACGGAGGTGATTCTGGCAGCAGGCTGTGGCCGCCAGGAAGAGGAAGGAGCTGTCTCTCTCGGGAGGAGGTTGCTCCACACAAGAAAGGGCTCCTAGGAAGAGCCTCGTAGCCGCCAGAGCGCCCCTGGAAAACTGTGCTGGTCCCACTCTTTCACGTTATCAATTGGGAAAGTGAGGCTCAGAGAGGAAAAGGGATTCACCACGAGTCATTTAGCCGGCCGATGGAAAGGCTGAGACTACAGCCAAATGTCATAAGCTCTAGGCTGGTGTCCTCCTACCCACAAATGCCTCTTTGGAGGTCATTTCTCTCTTGTTTTCATCCTGACCATCTGGAAACATCCAGGGGAGTGCACTGTCGGAGAAAGGGACAAGATTATCAAGAAGTTGCAGTGCCCAGAGATGTAGAAAGACCGGGAAGAGGGAGGCCCGGGTGCAGGGATGGCTTCCAAGACCCTTCCCCACACCAGTCCTGAATGTGCAGTTCTGATGTTCTGAGTTGGGGTCTGAGTGAAGCAGGCTTGGGGGACCCTGACCTTCCATGGGGCCGATGAGCACACCTGTTCTGTGCAGCCTCAGAAAGGAAGACAGGGCCAGGGGAGGAAGGCCAGTCCTTGGGGAGTAGAAGAGCTCTCTGATTATTTGCACGCTTCAGAAATGGTACAGCAATGGCCTGGTACCTTGTGTGTAGTAGGTGTGTAATTGTTTACTAAATATTGATGAAATAGTAGCGCATTATCCATCACGGGAGGAGTTTGGCAGGGGACAGATGGCCCCAGCTGTCCAAAGGGCTCTGGGGGGTATGGCAAGTCGGTTTCAACTTGTACAGTATCTCCAGTTGATGATCAGCTTCCAGGAGCATCGTGTTAAGGGGGCTTCTGAGGCTACATCTGATCTCAGAGGATACCAGTACTGTGATCACTTTGTGCTGTCTGCCGTGGGTGTGGGAGGAGGAAGTGGCATCTTGTGTGCATCTCTTTGCCATCCGTGGACTAGATCCTCTCTGTGGACGGCTCCCAGCTCTGATATCCTATGAGCTCATTGGTTCATGGACTCTTTAGGTAGAATCACATTAGACAATGGGAAGCTTAAACCACAAAACAATTCCCCCTACGAGGTGGGTCCCTCCCTCCTTGATGAATAGAATTAGGTCTCTTTGTCAACATTACTTGTCTTTTCTACCCAACAGGAGAAGGAATGAACCAAGCAGCTACCATATGCAGGTCCAATTTTAAGGTAAGCTTTGAAGTTAGGCAAACTGCTTTTTGGAAGTGAGGGAGACCTTTCTTCCTGGGAGGACCAGGGGAATAGCATCCATTTTGGGCTATGATGATGGGTCAGCATGTGGGCCTAGAGCTTCCATGGCCCTGTTTCTTTCCAAAGAGGCCAGGAGGTCACAGAGACCCCTCCAGTTGGAGGCTGCATGGACACAGCCAGTGCTTTTCCTGGGGAATAATAGATATTCCTCTAAGGGGCTAGTCCCTGACTTCTGTCTTGCCAGGGGCTGGGTTGGTTAGAGTGACTTACTTTTTTAAAGTGAACTTTTAATTGAAGCATAACACATAGATATGAAAATGCACACATTATAAGTGTACAGCTCAATGAATTCTCACAAAACAACATCACTGTGCAACCAGCACCCAGATCAAGAAACGGGAAACCTCCAGGACCTCAGCTGTGCCCTGGGGCCCCTTCCAGGCATGTCACTACTCTCCCCGTCGGATGTAGACTTTCTCCTGGCTTCTGTTACCCTCCATTCATTTTGTCTGTTTTTTAAATTTTATAAAAACAGAATCATATGGTATATACTCTTTTCTATCTGGCTTCTTTTGTTTTAACATTATGTTTCTGAGATTCAACCATGTTGCGGTTTGCAGTGACAGTTCATGATTCTTGGCTGTTGTATCGTGTTCACAGTATAAATGTTCCACAATGGATTTTTCCATTCTACTCTTTTTTTTTTTTTGCGGTCCATGGGCCTCTCACTGTTGTGGCCTCTCCAGTTGCGGAGCACAGGCTCCGGACACGCAGGCTCAGCGGCTGTGGCTCACAGGCCCAGCCGCTCCGCGGCATGTGGGATCTGCCCGGATCGGGGCACGAACCGGCGTCCCCTGCATCGGCAGGCGGACTCTCAACCACTGCGCCACCAGGGAGGCCCCCATTCTACTCTTGATGGACATTTGGGTTGTTTCCATTTTGAGGGGGAGAGTTACTGTGAATATTCTAGTCCAAGTCTTTTGGTGCATGTATGTCCACCATACATGGGGTGTCACAGACAGAGGGGTGTCACAGAGCAGGTGGGGGTGTCACAAAGCAGGTGGGGGTGTCACAAAGCAGGTGGGGATGTCTGTTGGGTGAATATCCAGGAATGGAATTGCTGGGTCATAGAGGATATGTATCCATGCTCAGCTGAGGGGTACATCCAAACACTTCTCCAAAGGGCTTATTCCAATTTATACTCACACGCGCAGCATGTAAGCGTTTTGGCTGCTCCACATCCAAGTCAACACGTGATGTCGCCGGCCTTTTCATTTCCGCCTTTCTGGGGGACTGTGATTTCCATTTGCATCTCCCTAAAGACTGATGCAGGGCTTCCCTGGTGGCGCAGTGGTTGAGAGTCCACCTGCCGATGCAGGGGACGTGGGTTCGTGCCCCGGTCTGGGAAGATCCCACGTGCCGCGGAGCGGCTGGGCCCATGAGCCATGGCCGCTGAGCCGGCGCGTCTGGAGCCTGTGCTCCGCAACGGGAGAGGCCACAACAGTGAGAGGCCTGCATACGGCACGAAAAAAAAAAAAAAAAAAGACTGATGCAGCCGGGCACCTTGTCATATGCTTGTTGGCCCTTTGAACATCCTCTGATTCAATGTATTCCTTTTTCCTCCAGTATCCCTTCTAATTTAACTTTATTCTGGGCTCCTTAGGCTACTAAGAAGGAATAAGGGGGCCTCCTTGAAGGGGTCTCTTGGGTAAGAATCCATTTCTAAGATTTCCTCTGCCTGGAGGTGTAGCTCCAGGAGTGGCAGATCTGAGAAGCTGTGACCTTGGAGAAGCGCAGGCGTGCTGCCTCTGAGCTGCTCGGGGGGCGTGTGGTCCTTGGCCCGCCCCCACCAAGCCTGACCTCCTTCAATGCTCCTTCATTCCTCAGTGTGCTCTGAGGTCCTGTTTGAGTCGTTCAGCTCTGTTGTCCAGTGTCTGTTCCAAAGCCCAGGGTGGGAGAATGGAAAGGAGGTCTTTGCTCATGAGAAGCTTCTGCTATGACGAGGACCTAGACCATGTCAACTTAGGACTCAGGGGTAATTGCAGGACAGCGTGGAATTATGGACAGATGAGCACATTGCAGATTGAGGGTCTGAGCAGTGAGGTTGGCTCCTCAGGGAGCGCTTCGTGGAGAAGGTGGGTTAGGGGAGGGCTGGAAGGGGCAGAGGAGCGGGGTCTGTCGCTGGTGAAGGGGTGGGGAGAGAGGCGGGGAGGGTCACAGGGTAGCTGCAGGAGGACAGCTTGTTCTTGATCTGAGGGCCGGGAGAGAGCCCAGGGAAGGCCTCAGTGAGTGGTGCAGGCTGGCAGACTGCTCCAGGTGGCTCGGAGAAGCCCACCCTGCCCGTCCCCGCCTCTGTGTCCCTTGCCCGCAGTATATGTACTGGACGATGCTGCAGCAGCTCACTCACCACTCTGTCAATGGCTGCAACCTGCGGCCGGGGGACCTCTTGGCTTCTGGAACCATCAGCGGGCCAGTGAGTATCTGCTTGCCTTGGGGGCTGCCCACCTGGAGCACCCCTATTCCCCCTACAGACTGCAGGGCCCTCAGCTCTCCCTTGAGAAGGGATTCCAGCCCGAAGCAGGTGTATCTTTCAACTCTGTCCTACTCAGCGCTTCATCCGTCTCTGGGTGCAGGAGGGGCTTCTTTTTCAAATTCAGAAGAGGCTGGTGTAGGGATGAGAGAGAGGCTGTGTCTGTGTCCTGGGGGAGAGTGAGAGTGACACGGGGGCAGACGCAGGAAGCCACTACAGTGTCTGGTCGTCACCACCTCACAGTGCCCCCACCCAGGATGAGTGGCCCACTGATTCCCCCCAGCCCCCTTCCAGGAGCCCTTGGTGATGACTTTTGGGTGGTGCATGTACCAGTCACTTCCAGCAAGGTCGAGACTGCAGGCTCTTTGATGGAGAATCTCTTCCCAGTGGGTGGGGTCAGTTACGACAGCATCTGGGTAAGCCACAGTCTCTGGAGTGGGCAGGGGCCTGGCAGGAGGGGCCTGGGCACGCTCGTCAGGCATCCCGCACCTCCGCGTCCTGGATGAATTGAGCAGGGCAGGTAGAGTGCCCGGCCTCGAGGACACTTCTGCAGTGGTCCCACCGAGGCAGGGTCTCTGAGGGCCGCGGGATCCGCCGCCCCTTCCCAGCCCCCCCGGCCCCCGCCTTGCTAACCACTGCCCACACCAGATCCGCCACGCCCACCGTGACGTAAATACATATCACACCTTCTTCCGTTTCCCGTTGTGAAGGAGCCAGAGAGCTTTGGCTGCATGCTGGAGCTGTCGTGGAAGGGAACGAGGGCCATAGAGCTGGGGAATGGACAGACCAGGAAGTTTCTGCTGGATGGGGATGAAGTCATCATCACAGGTGAGGGGCCGGGGCCCGCGGGCGTCCTCTCCTCGCACGCGAGCGCTGTCCTAACCGTCTGGCCAGGAAGCCATCTGTCCCAACTCGTCCCCACTCTGGCTGTCCCAGGTCTGTGTCTGCTTGTACTGGCCTTCGCCCCAACCCTGCCTGCCGGGGACTTTATTTTGGTTTAAATTAAATTTTTTTTTAATCTTTTGGCTGCACCACGTAGCATGTGGGATCTTAGTTCCCCGACCAGGGATCGAACCCACGCCCCCTGCATCGGAAGCGCAGAGTCTTAACCACTAGACGACCAGGGAAGTCCCTACCAGGGACTTTAAATCGGAGTCTCCCCGAACCAAAAAGACTGCAGAAGTCCTGCTTTGTCTCCTTCCTCCCTGAGCGAAATTCTAAAATAATGGCAGGTTCCCATTGTTCTGGACTCTGCAGTGCAAAGACCCTGTGTCCTCTGACCTTGTGCCCTATGACCCTGTGCTTTATGACCTGGCTGAGTTAGTGACGAGATTTCCCAGCAGCCCATTCCGAGGAGGTCAGGGCACCCCTTACATCTTGGGGGGTCGTTCTGTCCACCACATAACATTGCTGGAGAGGGAGGTGCCACCGTGGTCAGCAGCCCGCTACTCAGGGTCAGGAGCAGGTTGGACTCCCACATCCCCACCGGCCCTGTGACCTTCCTCAAGTTATCGAACCTTTCTGGACTCAGTTTCCTCATCTTTAAAATGGAGTTAATGATAGATACAGTAGTTAAGCTCACAGCATGGTTGTAAGGATGAGACGAACCAGTTTATTCCTTCAGGGGACGTTTCTGGAGCAGCTGCTGTGACTCCCATGCTGGGGTTCCAGTGGTGAACAAGGCAAGTGCAGGATCTGCCCCCTGGGGTCATGTTCCACTGTCACTGCTGCACCTGCATTTTACAGTGGGAAAATGAAGGCCTAGCAGGGGGTAAATAACTTGCCCAGGATCTTGCAACCAGTAAGTCATGAAATCAGATTTCGCATCCAGGCAGCTTATCTTCAGAACCCCAATTCTTAAGCCCTTCGATAATATCTAAAGAGCCTAACAAGGTGCATGGTACCTTGTGAGTGCTTAAAATTGGTGACAGTCTTCACTGCTGTCCTCGTTGTCATTGCTGTTTTTTCCAGAACCCAGTTTTGAGAATGCCCAGCATCCTGACCCCTCCTTAATAGGAATCCCTACCTGAGGCGTGGGAATCAGCCATGCCCATCTGCCCTGCAGGCAGGTTAAGGGGGCACCCGTTCTCTGCACTCGCTCTCCACATCCTGGTCTCTGCCTGCTGACCACACATTTCCCTTCCTGTGTCCTGTTGTCACCCCTACTTCCTGCCCCTGTCTTGGTACTGCTGACTCTCTGCTCTGTGGGCTGGGACCTTGGACCCATTTCTTCTGCACATCCTGTCGACCATCCCTTTGAAGTGTCCTGCCATCTCTGCGCAGCTGGCTTGCTCCAAGCACCATCCCTCCGTGTCTGGATTGCTTGCACAGCTTCGCTCCAGCCCCCTGCAGTCCATCCTGCTCATGGTGCCTGGGAAATCACCTTCAGGTCTGCTTTCCCCCTGTCACTCTTCTCTTCCTGATTTTCTCGTGGCACCCCTGTCGCCTGTTTCATTTAAATTCATACCCTTCCCTCATCTGATTCTTTCCCCGCCGCACTGAGCCTCATTCTCATCATAACCCTGCTTTCCCTACTGCCTGCAGACCTTTGAGCTTAAATCTGGCTCATTTCAAATGATGCCTGCTCTGGTTGCTCAGGGACAATCAGTCTGTCCTCTCCACGAGCAACTCACTGAATTCTGGTTAATTGTACGCATGTCTGTTTCCATGCTTGGCTGAGAGCTTGTATTAGTTTCCCAGGGCTGCTGGAACAAATGACCACAAACTTGCTGGCTTAAAACAAAAATGTATTCTCTCATGGTTCTAGAGGGCAGAAGTCTGAAGTCCAGGTGTTGTCAGGGCCACACTTGTTCCAGAGGTTCAAGGGGAGGACCCATTCCCTGCCGCTTCCAGCTGCTGGTGGCTACTGGCATTCCTTGGCTTGAGGCCACATCGCTCCAGTCTCTACCTCCGTCTTCACATTGCCTCCTCTGCTTCTCTCTGTCAAATGTCCCTCTGCTTCTCTCTTATGACACACTTGTGATGGCATTTAGGGTCCACCCAGATAAGCTCCTCGTCTTAAGATCCCTAACTTAATCACATCTGCAAAAACATTACCATATAAGGTAACATTCACAGGTTCCATGGTTTAGTATTTGATACCTTTGGGGGGCATTAGTCAGCCTACTACAGAGTTCTTAGAGGACAAGGTCCAGACCTTACCTCTCTCTACTGTCTGACTGTGTGCCAGCCACATAGTGGGTGTTCAGTGTGGTTTTTGGTTGGTTGAATAAATGAAGTGGATTTAGTAGAGAAGATGCAGGCAGAGCTCAAGACAGCAGCAAATGATGCCTAGAATTAACCAGTAAGTACCCATTTTTCCCCTACTCTTCCTATAGCCCTATCATACCCTTTCTAATACCAGTTTTAACTAACGGTTCCTGAATATCTGTGGGGGCCAACCATGTTACAGCCACATCCAATTCCATGATTCTGTTTCATACTCACAGAAGCCCTTGGGTAAGGTCATTGCCCCGATTTTACAGAGTAGAAAACTTAGGTTGATTGGAGGTAGGTTATTGGCGGAAATTCACACACTGAGGGAGCAGGATACGGTTCGGGTCTTCTGATTCCCTTGCCAGCTTTGATCAAGAGGTCCTACAGTGCTTGCCAGAGCTACTGCAGGCCCTCAGTCGTGGTTCTATGGATCGAGTGAAAACGTTTTCTGAAGTTTTGGTTTGAGGAAAGGAAGGAAGGAGATGGGATGGGAGAGGAGGAAATGACGGCTTCAGCTCTCTCTCTTGTCACTATTGTATAAGCCCCCAGCTAAGCCGCTGTGGACCCGGCAGCTGCCCAGGGCCTGGAAGAAAGGAGATGAGTACTCAGGCAGATGGGATTCACATGTGCTCCTGGCATTTGAGTCAAGGAAGGGGTGAGGAAGGAGGCAGAATGCTGCGAGGGTCACTTGTTTGTGTATAGTGCCTTTGCTCCAGAAGGATTTATGGAGGCCAGGCAGAGAAATTCAGAGAAAGGCAATTCCTCAGATCTGAAGATGCACATGTTGGCAAGAAAAGAGGGAAACGGGAATAGATTGGTGGAATTCCCTGGAACAAGAATAAAAATTACAATTTGGCAATAGAAGAGGTATAAGTTATATATTAATCAAACAAAAAAACAAACAAGAAGAGATTTCACACTGAAGGAGATGCCTGACAAATTCTAGGGAGTGAATGTGGCTGAGACTTGAGCTCTGTGCTCGCATGTGGGGAGGTGGACGGGGGGCATGGGCGTGTCAGCTGTGTTGCCTTTGCCGAGGTCACCACAGTGGGCAGAGTGCTGTGCCCTCACCTGCCACGACCCCTCTGGCACCTGATCCGGGTGAGCCACCCTTTTGCTGGAAGCCATCCAGCCTTCTTCCTACTCCTCTGGCTGTACCCGCTCAGATGCCACCTTGTCATCTCCCTGCTGTCTCAACATGGGTGACTATTCCTCAGATCCGTCTCTAACCACTGGAATGATAAAGTGTAGAAACCAGGATCTGAACCCAGGCAGTTGGGTTCCAGGGTCTGTACTCTTAAACCAATATGTCATGTTGCCTATGGTGCCATGTGGTTCTCACTTCTGGGAGACCAAAAGCCCCAGCCCAACCAATGGTATCCACTCCTGTGCTCCAGCCTTGGCCAACCTTTTGGGCAAGGAGGCCTCCTCTGTCTACAGAACAGAGCACCCACTGCCAACCCCAGGCATGTGGGCTGTTCCTGCTGCCTGGGACGCCCTCCTCCCCCTCCCACCATTCTTAATCCTCATGTCTTCTAACGCCCAACGCAAGTTCCATCTTTTTTAGTATTTCCATTCTTGTTTCTAGTGCTGCCACAGACTTTTCCCTTATATCTATATTGCTTTGACCATTTCCATAGGAATATAAGAGAAGGAAAGTGTTAATGTATAGAATGATGCCCTATCTCGAACCAGAAGTCTAGCCTAAAGCTATTTATCATTAACTAAAACACAATCTTTAACTGAAACACAAGAAAACCACAATGAAGACAACAGTAACACAACAGCAATTTATTGTGCACTTACTGTGTGCTAGGTACCGTGCATGTCACTTTACCTGCATTATCACATTTAATTCCCACGGTGCTATTACTCTGATTTATAGATGAACCATTGGAGGTCTAGAGAGGTGGAGTAGCTGGACCAGAATCACACAGCTGGCAGGTGACAGCCCTGGAATGCAACCAACTCCCTTGGAATGCAAAACTCACCACCTTCACTTCCCCACAGTTGCAAGCCCTTCCCATTTGCTTTCCCAGATCATTTCCTTTAGTTTCATTCGGTGACATAATACAATTGGGACTCCCCTGAAGCTCTGGTGGCAGAGAAAACCCTGGTTTCAGGCCTGTCTCTGCCAATAACGCAGCTGGTCTGGCTCCTGTCTCTGGGCCTTGGGATGTCCTCCCTCTGGGAGGTGACGGGTGCACTCAGGCGTGGCATTCCAGGAAGCTGGAAAACTGGGCTGTAGCTATGGATTCTCATTCCCATTGGTGGGATGGAGTGGGGAATAGGCAGAGGGTCAGTTTTCAGGAAAGGGCCAGTGAGATCAGACAATATTCCAGAGGAGATGAGTATACTTTTCGCTTCCATTTCCATGGTTGACGGAGCCCAACGCAGGAAGGCAGGGAGCTGCTTCTCCCCTCTGCGCAGGGCTCAGTGACACACTCTGACTTGGGTGCAGACTTTCCTCATGCTCTGGCCTCTCGGGGCCCTCTGTACCTGCCTGAACGCACCTGCCCCCAGTTTCTCCTCCCTGCACTGGAGAGCAGCAGCTTGGGAGCCTGGAAAGACCTTCCTCAGCTGGGTGCAGAGCCTCACTTTTCATCCTTTGGGCCAGTGGTCTCAACCAGAGTGGCTTTGCCCCTCGGGGGACATTTGGCGATGTCTGGAGACAGTTCCGGCTGTCTCCAAATGGCAGCCAGGGATGCTGCTAAACATCCTAAGTGGACAGGACAGCTTCTCATGAGAAAGAATCATCTGACTCAAAAGGTCGTCTCTGACGTTAAGAAACCCCATGTGGACCATCTGCTTGCCAGCTGTAAAACGGGGAGGAAGTGGCCAGCTTTCCTACCAGGATGTAATCGTGCATCTGTTCTCAGGAAGCAGGCAGGGCTGTTTGCTGGGGGTGATGGCTCTGTTGTAACCCAGGGCAGGAAGGAGCAATGTGAACGACAGAGCACCCTGCGTTGGGGTGGGGAGGAGAAAGACACCCTCTGAGTATATGCAGCTCTCCAGGAAGAAGGCACTTTAAAAATGCTGCAGCTTAGGGCTTCCCTGGTGGCGCAGTGGTTGGGAGTGCGCCTGCCGATGCAGGGGATGCGGGTTCGTGCCCCGGTCTGGGGAGATCCCACATGGCGCGGAGCGGCTGGGCCCGTGAGCCATGGCCGCTGAGCCTGCGCGTCCGGAGCCTGTGCTCCGCAACGGGAGAGGCCACAGCAGTGAGAGGCCCGCG